TGTCCGCCGCTTTGACAAAAGATTTTTGCACAAAGTGACCTGGCCAGCCTCGCGGATGGCCATATGGTGCCCTATGTGCATCATCCATGTTTTTGCTAAGCAGATTATAATCGAGCTTCCTGAGAGCGTCGTGATTGCAACCGCCATTATTGTTAAACATTGTAAAATCCTATTCGCATACGTTAGACTTTTGGCCCGTCAAAGAATGTAATTTATTAGAAATAAAAGTTATTAATTTTATTCGCCGCATTACGTCATATCGTTTCATATGAATTTAACGGATCTATTACGGATTAAAATTTTAAAACAATTTCATCTAGGGGATTAGGTGGAATAAGCATTAGGTCACTCTCACCTGAGATAGATCGTGTCTCAGAAGTCAGGTGACTTAAGGTGAATTCAACTCTGCTGGAAAGAAGACAACTAAACGAAAGTATCAAATGTAAAGGCGAATACACGTATACTCATACGTGTTTAACGGAGCGGCGGTTATCTCTGCATAGTGGGAGCTTGTGCTTTAATGAATTCTTATTGTACTAGCTAATCCACACCGTTACATTATGTATAACTAATATCATTATGATAATGAATTAATAAATTAATAACATATAAATATAATAGTCTTATTATTTTATTAATATAATGGTATTCGTTATATATAAATTTCATATTAATAAGAGCATATTGCTTTACATTAAAATGATTCTGTTCTTTATATTAAAAAAGAATGAGAAAAAGAGAAAGAAACAGAGAGAGAGAGTAAAAGATAATTACTTATAATATTGACGGTGGAAGTGTTAGCGGCATAACAATTGTTCTTGTCACCATGTCAATATTCGGAGACAGTGTTTGTAGCAACTGCTCCTCGTTCTCCTCCACTACATTGTTTCGCGGTCCTGCTGGAGAATTTACGTCGATCTCCAGAACACCAAAGTCCTCGTCCAGCGCTTCTATGGCTGCATTCAGCGCATTCTACCACTCATTATCATCTAACTAAAGCACCTCCTCCAAAAGTCTGTGCATTTCTCTGTCACTTTTACTCTGTATTGTTATCACTGATATAACGTCGCGAATTAATGCAGATTTTGTTTGCTCCTGCAAACCACGTATAGGTCGACAACTTTCAGTAAGAAGGATAGGTATAATTAATAGTAGTAGTAGCGAAGATTAGTGTGGATCAGATTAAGCAAATGGTATTAATGTATGGTTATGATTGCGCGTGCGCTTTTTTTTCCTTGAAACTATCAAGATGTTTAAATCAGTGGCAACGAAGAAGCTGCAAAGATCGATCCATTTTGAAGCCTCGTCTTCTTGTGAATAATAAATAAAAGAACAGCACTTTTCAGTGCTATGCATATGAACAAACAAAAAAAAAGATAAACTTATAAAACTAACTTATAACTTATAATTATTATTATTATTATTATTAATAATTATTATAATAATATAATTATTATTGTTATTTAGATTACTTATAGATTTGTAACGGAGAATTAGCGACCATTCCCGTCTGGATTACTCGCGGCCGTCCGCACAAATTATTTATTCAGGGATTCGGGAAGCAAAAGACGTTGCCACGACTGAATAACGCGTCGAGCATAAACACATTAAACGCACAGATTCGAAATCGGGATGAAGAGTGATACAGTAGCGAATAAACACAATAGCGGATTAACACACTAATCCTTTAATCGTCAACAATAGGCTACAATACGGCGATCTCGCACTTATACACTACGAGCGGCACAATAATAAACGCGAACAGTTAGTGTATGTGTGTCGTTCACACTTTTCCGCTTTGAGGGTGGCGCAGCGTAATCAAACATTACCACCCCTCTCTTTGGGAGCCAATAGGTTGGCATAGCCCACTGTCTTTCACTCTTTCGCTTTCAAATACATTGGAGATCCGGAAGTCAAGTTTGCTACGACATCCCTGACGCACACAGCGAGTCGGAACCTTTTTGATCTAAGGCGGCGACCTCCTCGAAAGGAGTACCGATCTTTTCACGGTTCGACGCTCAAGGAGAACGGAACTAAAGGCTTGACCCTCGGTTTGGGCGCGACGGAACTCTAGTTGCCCCAACGTCTACTACGTCGGAAGCACACAGCATACAAATCTTACGAGATTTGCTTGACCTGGTACCACTACCCCGCAGAGGCCAACCCAAATTGGGATGTCAGAAGAGAGACTCAGCCAGGACAGCCAGAGGAAATTCCTAAAACGATCAACCAGCTAAGCCTCTCCTCCTGGGCTCGCGTTCGAAGATCATCCCACCTTGCGTTCCTGTATTAAGGGATTTTTCCCACGACTTACAGGTCCATCGCATCGACGTGCCGAGGCACGTCTTCCCATTGCGTTTCGGTCATCCCCGCTCACGCTGGTGGGTGTCCGTTATTCGAAAAGGTTGTGTTCTGATTTTTGCCCGAGTCTCGGATTCCGCTTCCCATGGAAGGCTTTTATGACTCGCTGATATTGATCTCTGCTCTTTCGATTAATTTTCTGACTTGGGTCAGGGGCGGGGTCTCGCCTAGCCGATAAGGCGACTCCCCAGGCAGTTTTTAATATTCGTGCCAGTCATGCCACTCATTCGAATCAATTTTCGAGATCCAGGCTCAAATCAGGTGTTTTAGCGTTCGAGATTAGCGTTCAAATTGTGTTTTCTTCCACAAAGGTGTCGGGCCTTACTCCCGGAGCTCGAGGCAAAGAACTTTGGGTGGCTGCTATGACCACGGCCACGACTCTTTACCCATAATAGTGGCACCTACCGATTGCTAGTCGATAGGGAGTAATTTCTTATCTACCCGAATTAAATTCGGATTGCCGGGACCATTGGTCCTCTGCAACTAGCTCCCGGAGCGGTCTCCCGTCCTCTAAGAGGGCGCGCGGTACCACAAGTCCAAGAGATTTCCTCTCAAGTGACTCCCGGATTTTGGCTTTTCTGGGCTCGAGTTGAGTTCTTGGGGTGTGGTAGACTCCGCGTTGAATGTTTGGGCGTTTATGGGCCGCACCTCACCACGTGCTGTCATGGTCCGTGTTGTTTATTTTCGTTTGACCGATTGGCCTTTTGCCCTAGGGGCGAGCGTTGTGTGTTTTGCCTGCTGTTTCTTTACAAAGACAGCGTTTTCAACCCCACCGCGTGAAGGTACACACATCCGCACTTGTGATTGCAAGTCTTCGTTCAAATACACATTGCATTCACTTCGGGTCGACTAGCATAAGTTGCTTGTCGAGGGCAATCGGTGACGCATTTTGTACTTCAGCATTTGCATTTGCATTTGCTTATGCCCGTACAGGTAAGAGAAGTTTACGACATCCTCTCCTAAAACAACTTGTTGTTTGTTTGAGGAGTCTCCGTTCTCTGTTGAGGAAGACAATTACTGTCCGCCGCTTTAACAAAAGATTTTTGCACAAAGTGACCTGGCCAGCCTCGCGGATGGCCATATGGTGTACTATGTGCATCATCTATGTTTTTGCAAAGCGGAATATAATCGAGCTTCCTGAGAGCGTCGTGATCGCAACCGCCAATAAACGCGAACATGAAGGTGACTCGGTGGCTGGTCAGCTTGCCGATTCCCTGTCTAAATGAAATATTACAACAAATGCCCTACAAAACACTTTCCGCCGTTAATTCATCGACCGGGTAGCCAGCAGGTGTACCGTACTACCACCCATAAGCTGTCTTCCAAACATGCACGAGACAGAGAGAAACAAGAGAAAAACATGGCACCGACTTCGACCTTCAGCCTCTCCGACGGCTAGAGGGCTCCGCCGTGTGACGTCACTGGTGTGCTCCTCGCTGACCGTTTCGCTGATGTTTGTTGTCGTCGCTATTTGTCCTCTTGCTCGACCTCTCGCTCGCTCCACAATACTACTGCCTCAATCCGTTGTTTCGCTCATTAATTGCTGTTGTCGTTGTCTTCGGCGCCTCTCCGTTGCTCGGTACTGCAGCACGTCACAACTACTCGCGCGCATATACAATCCATTATTAGTCTTTGCTTACGTACAGGAAAAAGATTTTTTTGAGTAACTATCGCATAACTGGTAATGTTGAAGATGTCAACAGAAAAAGTTAATATATTAGAGGAAAAAATCACTGATTTGCCTTTTGGTGAAAAAAGCCTCGGTAGAATTACCAGAAAATGTGATTCGCAGTCGAAAGTGAAGTTAATAAAAGGGCCTAAGTCCAGAGTAGACGTGAGAACGCTTGTATTTATAACTCGACTTGTCGCGGAGTGATAAATAAATACATCTACTCTCCATAATAGCTCGAAGAGGACTTCTCGTACAAATCTATCCACGTATATTTGTATTAATTGATGTACAGCGGTGTATAATGGTTTAAGCAAAATTATCTTCAGATTTTTTCACATGAACCTAAGTTTTTTTTACTACGATTTCCTGTAGACTTTTTTTATATGGGGTATGACAATTTTCGTGTTGAATTGTGTTAAAAATTAAAACTTATCCAAATATTCACCCGAACGTACATAGATATTTGTCATATTATTGTTTAGTTTTTAATACTATATAATAAAATGAAGGTATTTGCTAAAATGTATAACGTAAGAAAATGTATTTTCTTTATTAGTTATCAGTTTGTATAAAAGTCCACAAAATAGGATTACAATATTAAAATAAAATATTCTAATTAAACAACAGATTCAACTTCAGCAACAAAAAAATAAAAGGATATTTTATTTTCTCAGAATTATAATCTGTAATCTTTAGTAATATACGTACATGTAAGCTTCATGTAATTATAAACTTCTAAGTCTATGTTGCTAATTATTTATATTAATGCCTGTCTGACTTATATTATTTCTTGCATAATAAAATTGCTTCTGTAACTGTAATTAAATAAATTATTATTAAAAATAAAAATATAAAAATATTAAAAATAAAATTATTCTCTAACTATTTAATTTATAATTGTATATATACATATTACGTATTATAAAAATATGTATAACATTGATAGAAATACTATTGTTCATTACAGGAGGTAGCTGATGGCGGAAAGATAATTCACAACTTCCCAAAAAGTAGATTTAGAAATAGAATTCGGATCAAAACAGCTGTATGATTAATAATCGATATACATTTTAATAAGAATATTAAGAATATTACGTTTCGTCATTATTTATTAAATAATTTTATTTTAATTTTATAGTTTATTGTCATTTGTTATCCTATCCACGAGCACAAATTTTAAAGCATTAAGTATACAATTGTTACCAAAATAGTAATTGCTGAGTTGAAGAGAATATCAATTAAATTATACAATTAGAAAGATTATACGATGGATTTATAGTCAAATCGAAGATTTATTTTGTATTATATTCGATATAATGTTATGTATTTGTTGTAATTTATATAATAACTAGTAACACTTAATGCATTTTCTGTTTTATTATACTCAGTTTATCTGTAAGTTATTGAAAACTTTTATTGGTACATTGCAGAACTCTAAAACATATATATTCAGTAGTAACATAATATTAAATACAGTATAACCGACAATATTGTTCAATCGCAAACAAATAAGCTATTATACAAACTCACGATGTGAAAATATTGTTATTTGTGGCTCATCTGAAGAGCAAAAGAACATTTACGTTGCTAATCAACCTCTCTCTCGTCGGTGTTATGATTTTTTTTAGTTAGTTGTATCAATAGCTCGATTCTGAGAATACCTGTTGTTAACCTATTTCCGAGTTTCGAAAATAAAACTCCCTATCATTCTTTCATAATAAAGTTGTTATTATCTTTTGTGAGTGTGTGAGTTTAACATTTTAGGGACTCGTCCGAAGATTTTCTTGAAGACTACTATGTCCGGAAAAACGCCACGAACACCGCCTCGAGTACCATTTCAAATAAAAACGAGATCTCGAACTGCTGCTGACGCTACTCCTGCTAATGTCGAGGGAGCTGCTGCTGTTACTGCTACCAATGCCACGGACACCGATTTTGCCGCTGCTAATAACCAACAACATCAAGCAGGTATTCTTGACCGTGCACATGCTCATCCAGTGCTCATTGATTTAAGCAGTCCACCTGATGAGCTGCACTCGGCGGCTGATGACTCGTACTCCGATGATTTCCGCAATGGTACGCGCTCGACGGGTGGCACAGCGCCGCCGGCAGTTGGTGCCTCGCTGGCAGCCGCTGACGACGCGTCAATGGTGCCCAACATCTTATCGATGGCAGCCGATGCCTCTCCGCTCGTGCGTGACGTTCCACCACCGCTGCCTATACCGTCAATGGAATTTATCACACGGGGGTCAGAGAAACTCTATAATTAGAACGTATTACTTCTTTCAAAGTAGCTCTTGCATGAGCCTTGGAAGTGAAAGTTATTAAAGAATAAAATAAGAATTTGTAATAGCGTCGGCGTGCAATGCCGATATATTCACTACTATTACCAATTATTTATAAAGGGGGAAGGCAAGGGAGGCGGTGTATCGCTCCAGGCAAAGCAGGAAGGAGGACAGCGGGCAAATGATTTCACACACACAACTCTTTGACAAACCGTTTATTACAACGCACTATCTAGAGTGCCGGCGAAAGTACAAACACTTATTAACAATAACGCGCAAACTTAATCTAAGCGAGATGACCGGCACGTTAGCGCCATGTCACCTCGTTAACCGGCTCAAACAATTACTTAAATTACACACTGCCGAAACTACGCCGGCTCGGAAAAGCCTGGCGTAGCAACGCGAACCGTGAGAATCGCCGAGGAAAGGAAGAGATACAAAGAGAGAGAGGAATCGGTGACCTGACCAATTTTGGTGGACGTCGCTGTTGCTGGCAGCCTTGAAGGTGTCCCACCGGCGGCTAGGCTGGAAAACCCCTAGCTGCTGCGTGGCCGGCGACCTGGCAGAAAAGGCTGTCGGGTGTTGCCTCGATGACAGCTTCTTGCAGGGCAACTGCTGTGTCGCTGGCAGAGGAAGTCCCGTCCGGCCGATCTGCTGAGGAATGCTGTTTTCTTCCGGACAAAGGGCAGGCAGCGATGGTCACCAGCTAACTCGTACGACTCATTGCTGTCGCGCGCGTCGCGTCACTCTCTCTCGCGAGTGCATGAGAGCCGGCTTCTCACGCCTTCTCCCACCACTCGCCTCCTAATCGGCGGCACGCGGCAATGCCGGTCGCGACAAGTGCCGCGCGCCAAGCCCAACTTAGACTATAGTTTTTCTCTCTCTTTCTCTCTCTCTCGCACTCTCAATACTCGATCGCGTCGTCGCGTCCACGGCTTCTCCTTCCACTCTCGTGCGTTACTGAAAAATAAAAGGGCAGGCATCAGGCACGTGATAACAACGTGCGCTTGATGCCGGCCGTGCGCCTTTGCCTAAGAAGGAGAGGGAGGCAAGCACACGGTGCAGGTCATGACAGGCCTACACCGTCACAAATTTGGCTTCTCAACGTATGAAAGATTCTTCAAATAATAATCAAAATTCTTCACAAAAGAGGTTTGACGATGACGCAAAAAGTTCTGACAAACAGGGCCAATCTTTCCAGGAAAAATCTTGAATGTTGGGGTTGTCATAAAAAAGGACACACGCGTTCTCGTTGTCCTGAACAGGGAAACTAGCTCGTGTCAAATTTTCAGAGGTAAGTTTGACACCCAATAAAGAGGCTCCTACTGATTTTACTGGTGGATCGAATTATAAGAGTTTGCATGTTTGTAGGGTTCTTCAGAATTTAAAAACATTTAAATTTGAAGGTAGCATAAATAAAAAATCGTGTATTTTGAAAATTGATTCAGGTTCAGACGTTACTATTCTGAATTCTAAATTTATTACTCCGAATTGCCATCAAATCTCCCTCAATAAAAAAAAATTGAAATATCCCACTGGTGAAAATGTTCCTCTTAAGTTTAAAACACTTGCTAGAATTGATTTAGATCAGTATTCAGTTTAGATGATTGTTTTTGTTGAAGATATTACTGACGATTGCATACCTGGGTGTGATTTTTTGAATAAGACTGGAATTACAGAGTCAATGTTTGAAATTTTTAAAGGTATCCCAAGTAGAATCGACAGTGATACGGATGGGGAAAAATGTTGCAGAATTATGGAGTGGCCTGGGGAATTACCAGATCTTTTGAAAGATGTTTTTGAAGATAATTCCCGAAATTTGGATTCTTCACAGAAAGAAAAATTCTGTCAGCTTTTAATAGATTTTCAAGATATTTTTCAAGATGATGATGTTGCCGAAAAATGTAATTTGGTTGAACATAAAATTGAATTAAATGATTCCAATCCTGTGAAATAGCCGGTTCGTCTTCTTCCTTTTCATGTACGAATAGAAATTGATAAAATGATTAATGATATGCACAAACAAGGGGTTATCGAGGAATCATCAAGTTCTTGGTGTTCTCCAGTAGTATTAAAACGAAAGAAAGACGACACTTGGAGATTTTGTGTTGATTTCAGAAAGTTGAACGATAAGACAATCAAAGATTCATATCCTTTACCTAGAATCAATCAAACTTTAGATAAGTTAGCTGGTAACTCTTGGTTTTCGACTTTGGATCTTGAGAGCGGATATTGGCAGGTTAAGATCCGTCCAGAGGACAGAGAAAAGACAGCTTTTTCAATAGGTAATGGTTTATGGCAGTTTATCGTTATAGCTTTTGGACTATGCAATGCTCCAGCTACATTCGAACTTTTAATGGAAAAATTACTCCGTGCTTGATCTACTTAGATGATGTCATGGTAATGGCAAAATCGTTTGATGATATGCTTGGTAACTTATGTATAATCTTTACAAGGATTCGAGATGCTAATTTGAAGCTGAATAGAAAAAAAATGTATTTTCTTTCAGCGTGAAATCGAGTATTTAGGGCATATTGTTTCAGAAAAAGGAAAGAGGACCGATCCTAAAAAGATAGAGGCAATGGTTTCTTGGCCAGAACCCGTCTGTAAAAAACAGGTAAAAGCTTTTACAGGTTTATGTTCTTATTATAGACATTTCATTAAGGGATTTTCGTCGATTGCGAAACCCCTTTATCGGTTAACCGAAAAGAAGACTAAATTTGAATGGACAGATGATTGTAAGAAATCATTCTCAAATTTAAAGAAAGTTTTATTAACTCCACCCATTCTAGTATTTCCTTGTACCGATTTACCTTTCATTTTGGATACAGATGCTTCTGATCATGGTATAGGCGTGGTTTTATCACAAATTCAGGATGGGGTAGAAAGGGTGATCGGTTTTTACAGTCGTGTTTTGTCTAAAGCTGAATGAAATTATTGCGTTACTCGTCGTGAACTTCTAGCTGTAGTAGACTCAGTCCAAAACTTTAACTATTATTTATGTGGTAGACCTTTTTTTGTCAGAACAGATCACTCTGCATTGACATGGCTTTTGTCTTTCAAAAATTTCGATGGCCAATTTGCACGCTGGATAGGAAGATTAGACCAGTATGATTTCAAAATTATACAACGCAAAGGCGTTTCTCATGGCAATGCAGATGGACTCTCTAGACGACCTTGTCCTAATACATCTTGCAAATATTGCTTCACTGTAGAGTCAAAATATGAGAAAGATAATTCTGTAAGACGTATTATTTTTGAGGAAATACCTCAAACTATTTGGAGAGATCGTCAATATCAGGACGATGTTATTCGGGCTATTTTAGAAAGTAAAAAGAATGGGGTAAAATTATCATAGCAAGATGTTTCTTCTAAAGATGAATATATAAAAATTTATATATCTCAATGGGATTGTCTAGTAATTAAAGATGATGTTTTATATAGAGAATGGATTTCTTCTGATACAAAAACCAAAATTCTTCAATTAATTGTACCCAGAAACTACATTGACGTGATTTTGGAAGAAGCTCACGATTCTCCTTCTGGTGGTTATTGTGCAGTTAATAAAACACTAGAAAAAATTCGTAAAAGATTCTATTGGGCTTCTTATAAAAATGATGTTGAAAAGTGGTGTAGATCTTGTTCCATCTGTATCGCAAAAAAAGGTCCTTCTAACAAAGGCCACAGTCAAATGAAAATTTACGATGTAGGTTTACCTTTTGAAAGAATTCAAATGGATATTTTAGGACGTTTCCTAATTTCTTCTTCAGGAAATAAATATCTTTTAGTTTTGATAGATTGTTTTACTAAATGGGTAGAAGTTTTCCCTCTTTCCAATACGAGAACGAAAACTATTGCGCATGTATTTGTTCGAGAATTCGTAAGTAGATATGGAGTTCCTCTTGAAATTCATACAGATCAAGGTCGTAATTTCGACTCTAAATTAATCAAAGAATTATCTTACTTACTTGATATCCGAAAAACAAGAACAACATCGTTACATCCACAATCGAATAGTCAAGTTGAAAGACAAAACAAAACAATACTTGAATATTTGTCTAAATACATCACAAATAATCAGAAAGATTAAGATCGTTGGGTTTCATTATACCTTTTAGCTTACAGATCTTCGATACATGCAACAACAGGAGTTACTCCAGCCGAGATGGTTACTGGATTTGACTTACGACTTCCATTGGACCTCATGCGTGGATCTCCACCCACTGATGATCTATTTATCCCCGGAACCTACATACACAAACTCAAGACTACACTCAACAAAATCCACCATTTTGCAAGACTCAACATTGGAATTTATTCTCAAAAAACAAAGAAAACCTACAACAGAACAGCTCGAAAAGTTGATTTTCAAGATGATCAAAAAGTTTGGTTTTACAATCCTCGTTGCATCAAGGGTAAAACACCAAAACTCTAAAGTAACTGGGAGGGACCATTCAAGATCATAAAGAAAATCAACGACGTGGTGTTTTACATCCAAAAGACTACAAAACACAAGACAAAGATAGTCCACATTGACCGACTGGCAATTGATCACGATAGGTAACTCATCTGCTCTACTTACGGTTATTTTGAGCTGTGTTTTTACCGTGAGCCACAGGGCAAATGCCAGAGCAGGAACAGAGTTGTGGTACCACAGCACATCAACATTCCCACTCTCGTTCATAACTTATCAAGTAATACATCTGCTTATAATCACAAAATTCCGACAATAACGATACAATTCTGCTATCAAGATACGGGTCCTTTAACCGGATGAGTTGAGGATCAACCCGCTTGACAAGTGGATGATTCCTGATGATTCTATCGAAATTTCAAGATGGATCAATTCAAGAGACGGACCCTTTGGCCATGAGCAATGGAACAGCCCGCTTGAAGAGGATGCTATTTTCGAGAAGTAGAAGATTTTGAGAAGACTGTGCTAATTTTTAAGAGACGGGCCTTTGGTTGAGAAAACCAAGACTTAACCCGCTTGATGTCATCAGTCTTTTCTTCCCTTTCTTTTTGAGATTGTCGGGACGATAATCTGAAAGACGGGGGATAATGTTATGTGTGGCTCATCTAAAGAGTAAAAGAACATTTACGTTGCTAAGCAACCTCTCTCTCGTCGGTGTTATGATTTTGATTTTTGTTAGTTAGTTGTATCAATAGCTCGATTCAGATAATACCTGTTGTTAACCTATTTCCGAGTTTCAAAAATAAAACTCGCTATTATTCTTTCATAATAAAGTTGTTATTATCTTTTCTGAGTGTGTGAATTTAACAATATCATCAATGGAGTCGTGTGTACGAGGGATGGTATGTATAAATTCCCATCAAACCAGGCAGGCGGGAGTTTTTACTTTCCGACCACAGTAATACGAAACATTCTATACGTACCCGTAGATATGCACCACAGGAGGAACAATAAAAGCCTAGCGCTCCATGAGTCATCCTTGAGACTACTAAAATTTAATCGTTTGCTCATAACACTAAAGTACATTTAATATTCTAGAATTTTTTAGACGGAAAAGATTGCAAAATGTCTTAAACAACTATGAAATGTCAGCATTAACAGAATTTTTTCGTATACCAAGGAACATTAATTTTAAATGTCAAATGCCTAAATAATGTTTAATTTATCCAATTACAGCTAATTTTTTTAAATTATGTTGTTCGTAAGAGATAAACAAGATTTTTCTTGTATTTATTTCACAAGTATATATAACAAATATATGAATTTTGTACTTAATATGTAACTCTTCAAGTATTTTTACTCTACATGTTCAATAAACAATACAAAAATTGTGAATGCAATAAAATCTTTTTAAAACATTCACATTGTTGAAAATTTATAACTGCGATAAAATTTGTTGATCAATGATCAGGAAAGTTGATTAAAATTTTAATATTTATTTACTTTGTTACGTAATTATAAGAACTTGCCAATATTAGACACATTAAATAAAGATTATAAGTGGTTGAATCACTGATAGATTTTAGAAATATTTTGATAAATAATTTAAATACAGTTTCAAAAACATAAGCGAAAATAATTATAAATTCGTATAAAAATCTTACGTGCCAGTCATTTGTTTAGCTAACAATTTGAAGTTAAAATACGAAGTGTGTTCAAAAACCAAGGTGAATTTTTAAATTGGACGGGCTATGAAAATTCGATCATCGATATATTTTTTTTATTGTATTGGTATACATATCCCTCACATATGCTCACAGTTTCAGCCAGTTTGTATGTTTAATTTTTTTTGCGAGACAGAAACGTTAGATGTATTTTTTAGGCTCGGCGATTTTCTGCTGTCGAAAACAATGGATTAAAGATTTTGCATAAAATTTTGTGTAAAAAATGGAATTAAGTGCTCCGAAGCACTTAAAATGTTGACAGTGGCATACGGGGCGAGTCTACTTTAAGTCAAAAAATTTTTTTAAGTGGTATAAGCTCTTTCAAGATGGCCGAGAAGACATCGACGACGAACCTCTCTCTGGTCGTCCCCGCATTTCAAGAACTGATGAAAGTGTTGAAGAACTGAAACAAATAGTGTTAAAAAATCGTCGAATCACTATTAGAGAAGGAGTATCGTTCAAGAGCTGTTAAACGACGTCAATGATGATCCTGATATGCTCAAAAGTCATAACTGGTGATGAATCGCGGGTATATGGTTATGATGTCGAAACTAAAGTCTAATCGTCCCAATGGAAAACTGCAGAAGAGCCAACACCCAAAAAAGCACGCCGATTTCGATCAAATTTCAAGGTTTTGCTTATTGTCTACTTGGATTACCGTGGCGTAATTCATTAGGAATTCTTACCATAAGGTTATATGATCAATAAGTAGGATTACCTTGAATTTATGCGTCGTTTGCGAGAGTTAATACTATACATGGAAAAACAATTCGTGGATTTTGCATCACGATAATGCACCTGCTCATTCATCGTTGTTTGTGAGAGATTTTTTGGCCAAAACCAACACCACAGTCATGCCCCAGCCTCCATATTTACCGGATTTGGCTCCCAGTGACTTTTTTCTTTTCTAAAAACTTAAGAAACCTATGAAACGGCATCGAGTTTCAACGATTGAATCGGAATTTGTATCGAAAACTGCATCGCTGAAAGAACTCAAGGCTATACCTCAAAATAATTATCAAAAGTGCTTTGATGATTGGAAAAAGCGCTGGCACAAGTGTATGATATCCAAAGGGGATTACTTTAAAGGGGATAACATAAATATTGACTAATAAATAAATATTTTTTGAGAAAACCATAAAGTCACCTTGCTTTTTAAACACCCCTCGTATGTGTGTGCTTGTGTGTGCGTGTATTCGCATGAAACCACTTGAATTATTTAACACCATGAATTATCTATAGCTAATATAGCGTAGACCGTTGTAAAGTTTCTCAATCGATATAATGTATTCATCGTTATTATTTGTTATTAATTTTGTACTATTTAATTTTATCAGCTTCCGATATTGTAGAACACTATAATGTCATCTGCCCTTGTGTTATCCGCAGCGTATACTAACTTTATAACCAACCGTGATTTGTAAGCTAATCAATATTTGATCCAATGACTTTTGATGAATCAACGTCTGAATTTTAAATAAGTTAGCTGGAAAAGGATTGAAAGCAGCGTTCCGCTGCTACACACTTTTTTGCTTTTTGGCCTTTGTCCCCTTGTTACTTGTCTTTACGTTCTGACAATCCCGAATTTTTGACAGTTTACTTATGAAACGTCTCTTTGTCACTCAACTCAAAACTTCGAAATAACTTAATATAAGTTATACTTTGCATTTTGTAGATAGGATTAAAGAGTTTAAATGAAGTACCTGCCACTTTTAGTTGACCTTTACTTTTTAAATTAATCGGCATTTTGTGCAAATTCTTAATCGGATAAACTGCCAACCAGCACCAATTAATTACCATTGGATAATAATCAAGGTTCGACTACACTACTTAAGTTATTAATTATTATATGCACGGTAATTGCTATACTTTCGTTTCGCTTTATTTGTCACATGTTATTCTTTGCTCGCGGCTTCCGTGTTTAGACTACCTACTGAGAAAACATCTAGGCATAAACATAACACTATTACAATAGGCAATGTGGTAAGCTAATCTTTGAAAACTGTAAGTTAACGTAACCAAAAGTTAGTAAATTATAGGTACACTATTTATCCAATGTTAGCTGGTACAGGATAATATGATTATAATTTTTTGTTTTCATAAAATCTTCCAGATTTTTGAAACTTGGCTCGGTTCCGTAAGATTCATCTTTTAATAGTTCAATACTTACTTCAAGATCTAAAGAAAAAATATTACTTAATAAAAAATTGCAGTTTTAAATTTCAAATGCGTATTGAAAAAGTTAACAATAGATAAATGATTAAATTAAAGTTTTCAAACTTAAGTTAGGAGTTATTCATAATGCAAAAGAAAGGTAATTAAACGAAAAAAATCGTGGTCTTATAAAAAAATTAATATTCAATGGAATAAAACATAAAAGGCAACCTGATATTTGTGCACGAAATTATTTTTGTATGTAAACTCTTGTGCACAATAACATAAGTGTAAAACTAATTGATTTATGGACACAGTGTGTCATACTATACTATACACAATAGTTCATGTGTAAAATAGTTAAATGCGCAATCGTTGACTTGCCTTGTAACTTTCGGAGTGAAAAATAGTACAAGAAAAAGAGTGAGAAATAAAAAAAAACCAAATAAGTAATTAATTTGTGACACTGATGGTTAACATCTAACGTTTTTTGGGGAATGGTAATTCCCACAAACCATGGAAGGGCCCGTGTCCAAGCGTCGTATCATAAATTATTTTTGAAGGGGAAGGTAAGGGTGGCTCTTTCGCTCCTCTGAACGGTAACGATGGGCCTTATCACTAAATTGGCGTTTTAGGCTTCTGTAGAGGAGGCCATTTGTAAATCCTTGAAGCGGGATCTTCGCCGTCTTCTGGCCAGTTGCCTCTTTCACTGGGACATCTTCAATACCTTCCATCAGAGGGACAGCCTCATCAGAGGGAACTACCGGACTTCGCAATAGAAATTCTTCCAGCTCTTCCTCCATTACTGCGCTGTCTGCTTCCATAGCTATCTCTTCTACTACTGCATTTGGGACTCCACCGAGGAACGAGAGCTCCAGCTCAACGCGGCCAACGTGGAGCACAGAAAGCTCGTCCACCACGGCGGTTATTGCAGTCGAAATTGGGGTTTCAAAATCTTCATTTCCCCCCTCCCAGAGCACTCCTTGAATGGTACACATTCTGCGGTACATCTCTCGCAGGATGCCTCACTGGGATTATCCCCAGGGTCGGAGGGAGCGAATCCGCGGGCTCAGCTCCGCTCACCTTCCCTTCGAGCTCGAGCGTGTCCACTTGACTTCCTGACGCCAAACCAACAGGATTTGC